AAAATTCTTTTTTCTTTTTAATTGTTTGTATCACAGATTTGTGAACTGTCTCCTGGAGCAGCCAGAAGTGTCTGTTCTTGGTGCAGGAAGAGGACCTGCTGGCAGCGTTATTCACAAACTGTTTGTGAATGCTCAGAGGGTAAGAGAGTTCTTGACTGCTGCTCTGAGGCCTCAAACCACGTGAATGCAATAAGTTAACATATGCTGGCTGTTTATATTGTCTACATGTATCCATGTATTTTTATAAATGTGACTGCATTTTTGGGTGTTTTTTTTGTGATGTTTAACGTGATTTTAGCTACAACAGTATCCCACCAAGAGTAGGTGACCTGCGATGTGAAACTTGAAAGGAAGTTGAGCAGATAGAGCTGTCGTTATTGTTTGATTTACTTTGAATTATAACACTAATGCAATTATGGCACAAATTTCTGCTTCAGTGAAGTTGTGTAACATATGCAACATTGCAGAAAGAACTGTTGAGTGTGATGATGGTTTAACATGGAATGCAGAGAAGCATGCCATAATATTAAATACTTCTTAGACTGAGGCTTATATTCAAAAACTTTCCGGTATGGAAACTTATGTGCTTAGGAAAAGTGTCAGTTCTCTCAACTCTGTTTTTGCTTTATTTACTGCCTGTGTCGTGTCTGTTTTCTTGAAATCTTTCCCCATTTTGTATTTTTTATAAATAATGCCTTTTTCCTTAAGCAGTTGTTTTTTTTTTTAATAACTGGCTTGGTAAGTACTGATTTCCAAAGTTCTTGGACTGCAGTCAGCCTACAGCTTCTCTCAGAATTTCACCTATCTGTAGCATCAAATAATCTAAATAAAATTTAACTGCAGTGATAATAACAAGGTGACATAATGTTGCAGACATCTTAAAGCCTGAAACCATGTTTAGAGATCGCTGCTGGAAAAAAAAAGTGATTTGGAATTAAGCACTTCTGAGGTGTGGATGCCTTAATAATAATCTGTAATATTTTGCAACTCAGTGTAAAAAGGACCATTCTGAAAACAGGCCACAGTTATTCTGATAAATAAAAATTGGAACATTTGTTTTACCCTTAAGAGAACTTTAGTCTCTAGTGAAAGTTGTGTTGCAAATCTCAACATGCAGGAGCCAGCTTAACTGAGAAGAATTTCTCTTAAATCTTAAGATTATGCCCTATAAAGGTATGCAAATGTATGCACTTCTTTTTAAATCATGTATTTTGTTTTAGAAGTTGAATTTCTAACGTTAACAAGTAAAAATACATGTAATTTCTACAGTTTAGTTTAGTAGCTTACAGCCACCTCCCACTAGCTGCTGGTCACTGTTAAGACTTCTTAGTGGGATGGGAGTTAACTTGCTGCAGGAAAGCATGTTTGATCTACCATTCATTAGTTTGGTAGAGAGTTGTCTGGGAATTACAAGTTGAATTACTTTATTATTCATTACCTTTCGAATCTGGACTCTTCTCTGGGTTGTGTAAAATATCTTCTTTTCAAACTTTCTCAGGGAAAATATGATAGCAAGTGCATGCTCTTAGAAGTAGAGTGCATGATGTCTCTTAAACCTACAGTCTCCTTCTAGCCTCTTGTTAGTCATCTCTGACTTGCCTTTGTTTCTATCTTTCATCACTGGTTCTTTTCTCATCCCTTTTCAAGCTGACTGAATCTTCTGATGAGGTAACCAACTTTGTCCCTCATTTCCCACTCATCTTCCTTAGCTGCATAGAGTTGAAGCTTTTGGTAGATAGAGTACAGCCTGATGTGGTTGGTACTGTAGTTCCTGAGCATAAAAATAATATTGTGTTTCCAGAATGGTTTTTCCTCATTTGCAGACTTTCTTTTAGAGCCTATTGGGAAGTGAAAATGAAGACAAATTTAAAATATAAAACTAAAAACAAGAATAAAAAACGCAAACTTCTCTTCAGGTGAATACTAATACTCACTGATGCTGAAATATGTGGCCTGCCTTTTATATTTTTCTCTGTTGCTGTCACTATTTTCTTGCCTATTAAACAGCCAGTTGCTTTGGGGGAAGGTAATGATTTATATAGTATACTGTGTGGATGTCACGATCCAGCTACTACCAAAACTATTGAGATAGCAAAGCTTATTAAAGCTACTGAAACTTTTGGACAAAAGTATAGAGGTGTTCTGAGAGGGAGAACTAGAGTAACTGAAGAAGTATAGCAAAGAGAACATCCTGTCTGCTGTCCTTGAACTGTTTTTGGACATACAAATGCCACTTGTCCCTGGTGACTGACTGTGTGTCAAAGGTTGTAGAGCCAGGCAGAACTGGGTTCCTGCTCTTGGGGGCTGGATGGGTAAGAGATGGAAGCAGAGAGAGTGGATAGGTCATTATGGGGGTTCTTCTATGATGTTCCTAGTCTTTAGTTAAGGAGTTCAGTACCCTGTTAGGCTATTGGAGAGTGTGTGTTTGTGTGCGTGTGTGTCAAACCATCTGAGGAACAGCCAGGAAGTTGGCAGAAATGGCAGAAGTATGCTATTCCTTTCAATATCAGTTGTAGTGTTGCTGCTTACTGGCAGTGAGTAGAGATGGAGACGGCCCAGTGTTGTTTGCTCTGTGATGTAACCTGAGCAAGCCTCTCTTTGGTCATGGAGAGTGCACTGAAGTTACATGTTGAATTTCAAAGGCAAGTGACTTTTTGTCAAGGCTTAGTGGGGGCCCTGGTTACTTCTACAACGAGGGTGGCTTGACCAAATGTGTAGCAATGAAGAGCTGAGGCTAGTTTCCTGACTGAGAAAGGGTAGTTTTGTGTGGTGAAAACCTTATTTCATGCTTTTCAAAACCCAAGGAGCTTACCATCCACAAAGGTTCTTCCATTTGATTGTGTGCAGTTTATTTCTTGACATCCCATTAGTGTCTTGTGCGTATACGTAAAGCCTTCTGATATTTACCATTGCCGATCTTCCTCTTCTCCTCTTACAAATTCTTTTCTGAATTCTAGTTGCAAGGAACAGCCTGCCCTGTAGTTACACTTCTGCTTTTATTTAAGATTTCTGCAGTGCCTCCGCTTGATGAAGAACTGAGGAGATCAGGTTCAGCAGATGAGCGAAGACTCAACACGGGCTCTATGTCAGACTTCCCCCCGCCCACAGGCCGGGAGATCATCCTGCGCACAACCGTCCCCCGTCCCGCACCTTATTCTAAACCGCTGCCCCAGCGGATGTACAGCGTGCTTACGAAAGAAGACTTTCGACTTGCAGGTGCCTTTTCAGCAGACACAACTTTCTTCTGATGTAACCGTAGCTGTGTTACCTTGTGTGTCTTCACAAGTAGAATGTTACTCATTTTCCTTCAGGGAAGTTAACACTTACAGATCTACCAGCTTGTGGGGAGGAGAAAATAAGGTTGTGGTTAGTGGCAGGGAGTGATAGTCCCAAGGACAGACCTCGGCTGGGATTTGAGAAGAATGACTCCAAATGCTCCATCTTGGAGGGCTGGAGAGGCAGCAGCAATGGTTTTGCTCTTCTTTGGGGAAGAAAGTTTAGCCATCCCCCTCTGTCCAAATGGAGCACATGTTTTTGCATCGGCTTGTTTAATTATGGATGTTAATGGGCTACACTCAAATACTTCATGTTCAAGGTTATGCAGACTGTCCTGCTTTACAGTTCTTAATCAGACTCGATAAAGTGATATTAGCCTACTAAAATTGGTGTGTAGACATTAATTTGTATTTATTGCTAATCACAAGTGTTGAGCTCAGTATTTTTTCGGTTAATCTGTAAGTTGCAAATACTTCTAAAATACCTTTCATTTTATTTAAAGTGCACAACACATTCTAGTTCTTGCCTAACTCTCCTAGCCTTGCACCAGTCATCTGAAAAAAGGTCTTGTCTTTGGGATAAAAGCTACTATAATCCTATTAGCATTAAGCTTAATCAGTTTTAGATGCTTTTTATCCTTCCCTGCATGCAAGGGCCAAAGCTGTATGTAAATTACATGTACAGAGGTTTTAAACCAAAGTGAAGCTTACAGTAGAGACCATTTAAATGCATACTGTCTTTGATCTGATTTGATAAACTAATCCCATTGAATATCATGCAAACACTATGACTTGTATGTGCCAATGTTGCTTTACAGTGATCTTACTGTGTTTTAATCAGAATGAGCAGGTCAGAGTTACATTACAAAATTCAATGTAAAAACTATGGTATTATTGACATTACTCAATAAATTTAAACTTATTGGTTCTAAGAACTTTTCAGGTTGGAGTGTTTGTTTTTGTTTTTTTTTTAAATCAAAATACTACTTAAATGTCATACTTTCATAGCTTGATATAGAAACAAACTTGTTTGTGACTAGATCACGTGTAAAAAGTTCCTTCCATCTCAAATACTTCTCTCTGATAAACATGCATCAAGTAAAAATGTGTTATGGATATTTTTTTTTTTTTAGAGAAAATCTTTCCCTAGGACTTTGTCCCATAGGCTTTGTGTTTTATGAGGCAAATGCCTTTGTTAAATAGAAGAAAGGCAAAGGCCAATTCAACAGTTGCTCAACTGTCCAACTTTGTAAGTAATTAGTTGCACTAGACTAATTACTGAATAAGTTTGATTACTTACCACTTCCTGGTATTCTTGCTTTCCTCCTCTCCTGCTATGCTTTCTTAGTGACTTTTACCTTATACCTGCAGCCTCCTGTATAGGTTGAATAAGCTTGAAAACCCTTCATTTAGCCAGCAGTCAGGCTTTTACTGGTGCTTGATCTTTCAACTGTGTGACTGGCTGCTTCACTTTGGCATTCTCAGAGAACATGAGTGCTGTAACATTTTCTGTCAGCTGCTTAAAGGTGTTTGGATCTGCTGGAAAAGTCCAGTAGTTTTAGTTTATAGAAGACAGTATATTTGCAACAGCACCTATCTTCATCTTTACCTGAGAAAAGCGATGTGTAAAACATTAGGCATTTTCTCATAAGGATATCTAATGAAAGTATTTCAGTGTATTTTAATTAAATATGCCTGGAATTGTAGAGAACAAAGTACTTTTAGAAAAAATTATCTGTAGTGATAACATAAAAGGGGCAGAGGAAAGGCACTGAAGCAGTAAGATGATGCTGATTTATTTGAAGTAACTGTAAAGAAAGCTACTTAAACAGTGCAAAATAACCATTAGCTCTGCGATTTAGGTAAAGAGAATATGGCTCTAGTATTTCCCAGGAATTACCTTGGATGAGACAAGGAAAAATAGATATTATTTCTCATAAACAAACCTTAAACGCTAGCTGTTTTAAACAGATATTTCAATAAACATGAACTGAAAGTGCCCAAGTCAAATAAAGTTATCGGGCCTTTCATAGCCCTTTCCCAGGCTACTGCTAACTTTTACATGTAGTTATAAGACAGTTTTAGAAGAAACACATCACCTGCCTTGTTGTAGTCAGGAGAGCAGAGCCTGTATTTTCTCCAGTACCTTTGACTGAGTGAACAAAGGGAACAATTATAACTAAGATAGCTTCTTAGTCCTTAATAACCCACTGCAACTGAGCATTGCAAGATTAACATGAATTTCAGCAGCATTGGACTGCAATTCTTGCAGTTGTAAATGAACTAATATGAAAATTGCAGTACTTCAAAACTGCACTAAGGTTATACATAGAAATTCAGCTTTAAACTGCAGGGCCATAAAAATGTAATCATGATTGAGTTCCTTCCATGCATTCATCCAAGGCCCTCTGGGAAAAAATAAAAAAAAAATCAGTATTTTGAATGATTTCTTGTTTTCTCTACCAGTATAAAAGACTGTTTTTTAAAGTGCATGAGGAAAACTATGCAACTATAGTTATAATGTAACTGATTATACTTATTTTACTTCTTCACAAAAAACTGTGTGATATCACAACCATACTTTGTAGCTAAAGAGTGTCTCTTCCTCTGACTTCTTTCCTTGGCCTGTTTTGCAGTTCTCTGGAAAAGAGAAAGGTAAGTCTGGTCAGAAAACAGAATTACATGACAACTAGCTGGAAAACACTAGGCTATACCTTTAGGTTTCAACCTAATTTTGCAGCAGATGACAAATAAAATGCAAATGTTTATTAAGGTGACATTTTCCCATTTGTGAGTAAATGGTTTAATGCTGCCTTTCATATTCACCGGTGCCTTCCTGCAAGGAAAAGAGTAGTGCCATGCCACAGACAAGGCAGCATAGAGACGCTTGTATTAGTCGAGTACAGACTCAATGGGTAACATCAGGTATTTCTTACTAAAGGTTTTTGGTTATTTCCCACCAGTTGCTTCTTTCCACATGCATAGTACCTTGGTGCTGTCTATTACTTATAAGGTATACAGACTAATTACTGATTTTTACTGTACATATAATAGCACAATCTCAGTAACCTATGAATCAGTTTTAGTTTCTTCTGTCAGTGAAAACCTGTAGTTTGCTACAAGTCACATTCCCAGTACCAGGATGTGCCAATGAGGACAGGAGCTGTTTTCAGCCACCAGAGGGCGATATTTGAGTGTACCACACTGACCTCTCTGTGGCAGACCGTACACAGAGTCTGAAGGTTCCCCAGGGAGCACTGTCCTCCTCCGCTGTAAACAGGCCTGATGTGATCCACCTGCCAGAACTGACCTTCTGTTGGGTTTGTTATAATTTCATTCAACTGCAGGAAAAGGGCAAGACAATGGAAACCTTAGATATTTTCCTCCTGAGCTATATCTTCATTCTACAGACAGAACAATAAAACTGAGCAAAGCAGCTATTTATATTATTTATACCAATGTTTATGATCGGAGAAAGTGTTAGCATGTTTGTTACTCCCAGTGGACAAGCAAACAACTATTATTTTAGTTGGCACAGTTCTACCTAGTCTGCAGTATGCAACAGTATCAAAGTAAAGCAGAAGGAAAGGTTATTTTCTTGATCAGTAAATTTGTCTTCAATATCATTTTATCAAGTGCTGCAGTTCACTCAGAAGGTTGTAAGATACCCACACTGCATGACTCGGTCTCCAGTCTTTTAGATTTGTGTCGACTTATTTTTAAAAGCCACAAAAAAACAAAGGTGATTTCATGCATACAACCAATAGAAGAACTGGCCGATGATCTTTTCTTTTGCAAGTTTTAAGTGTGTCTTCAGACTTTATTATAAAAATATAGAACCAGCAACTTCTGAAGTAGAATTTCAACTTCACAACAGGACCAAAAAAAGGTATTCTTATCTTGGAACTAAAATACTGCTTTGTATATGGATATTCTCCCTGTTCCATTGCCTTCGAGTCTGCAAAAAAGTGATTAATCTGGGAAGAATGGGAGTAGTTCTTCATATGCTCTGAGGTTATGGTGAGGGAAGCTGTGACAGCTGGCTTTTGTTAAGCTACTAACCAACATTCTGTGAAGTAGCAATAACCTGGTACTATTTACTACATCCATTCCTCGATTCTGTTTCATAACCACATTTCAATTAAAATCAGCTGCAACACTGACATCCCTAAAAATCAGAGTTCTGATGCCAGTCCTATTTAGATACCAAAAACATGCTTGTCTTTGAAGACAAATGAAGACAAGAATTTTGTTGTTTGTTTTCTTTTTCATGGTCTTCTATCTTATGCCTGTAAGTACACCACTTTGGTTTCTCTCAACTACCTCCTACACTACTACAGGAATACACAGATCAGCAGAAAGCACTTAAACAGTGCTGTTACCTGCCCAACTGGAAGATGAGACATCCACGAGCTCTCCAGAAGCTTCTTACGCTGAGTCTTAGGTGCATCTCTGATGTTAAGATAGAGCTCTTGGGCATTCTGATGACAAAACTGGCAAACACCATGTTCAGTTTCAAACACCTTAGTCCTGATGTAGCCCTGACTAGAACGAATTGAAAATTCCTCCTGGCAGGAAAGAGTGCAGAACCGTGTGTCCCAGGCAGGGGCCTGGCAGCTTTGGTCAAGCTGAGCTGTTGGCTGCTGACAGTGGAGACAAAGTGGGTTTCCTTCACCATCCAGGGCTTGCAAATAGCCTTTAGGTAGGGAGGAGTTTTGAACTTCAGTCCAATTGGAGGGAAGAACAGAAGGACTTTTTCCACTCTCCAAAAACAACCTGTTTACAGAGATCAAAGTAGAACTAGTAAAGCGGGTATTCAACACTACAATTTTTGCTTCATACATTGTACATTTCCATTAGATATCTTTCATGCTCTAGAATACCAATTTTAATCAAAAGATCATCTCAGTCAGGTTAGTATCTGCATAGTGCAATCGTCTACTTGGTTTATGTTTCAGTTTAAACAGTGTATGACAATACAAAGGATATTTTTCCTTTGCACATCTTACTGCATTTACACACGCACATTGAATTACTACCCTAAAATAATGCTGCATTTATAAGCGTTAGCTTGTGTCAGGTACGTACCTATACCCTCAGACAAATGTTTCAACCCCTTTTGTAATGGGAGCAAAATGTCAGAGGAAAACATCCTGCCTTCTCTCTGCAACTTTCACAGCTTCTTAACAATTTCCTACTCTAAACAAGATTTGCTTCCAGCCAAGAACTACTTGTCTGATAAAGAAGGGCATTTTCCAACCAAAACTTTTGTATTTTCTGCCCTATTTTAAATTAGAGGCAGAATGGAAGAAAATTTGCTCTCCTATTTGTAGTCAACTTCACAAGTAAGCTCAAGCTAACGTTGTTGCTTCCTTAACTACGTTGTGTAACTTTTCTTGTTTCATCTTGTCGCTCTGTTAACTAGTGGCTATGTCATCATACAACAAAACTGTTAATAGCTCATTAGCTATTTCAGCAAGTTTCTTTCCTATAACTTACCTATTACTATGGTTCAACAAGGTAAATATAACTTTGCTATCTTAAAAAAAAAAAAAAAAAAAAAAGTCTATGAAGAAACAGCTTCATAGCTTCATTGCTTTGTTTTTTTTGCATTAAACTCAACTTACTTTGTGGAATGACCTGGTTGTGCCATAGAAGCTTTTTCATTCCTCAGACAAGCTCTACTTTCTTTAGTGATGAGGCGCACGCTGCCCCCACTGCTGCTTGCTCTGCTAAGTGAGGCTGCTGCTACATCCTCCTTGGTCACATACCTAAAAAACCAACAGTTTTGACAGATGTCACCAACAGTGGACAGAATTATTTAAAGAAAAAAATGAGTATGAAAAAGTGTTGAAGTAAACTATGAATTATGAATGAGATTGCAGCCCTGATGGCAACTAATGATTTATTCCTGCTCCAAGTAGGAAATATAGTAAGATCTTTTAAAGCTTGCTTTTCTTTTGAGACAGTAATGATTTTTCCTCAAAAATCTTTGGTGAGTTCCAGCTGCTTAAATACACAAAGCAGAAGGCCAGAATAGCTGCTGAATGTGGCAGTGATGGACAGGGAAGCAGATACTTCCATTCCAGCACATTTACTTATGTGCTCAGTTGCATATGTTTGTCACTGTGAGACAGTCACTGAATTACCCATTTGTAGCCTTTGGCTTAATTCTACTGAAATTTACATTAAATACATCAAAACTTCCTGCAAAAATTAATAAGGGAAAGAAAAATAAAAACAAATACCTTTTTGTGCTGCTTGCCGCAGACTGTTTTTTACACATCTCCTCTGCAGCATGGATAGGACTACAAAACAGCTGACCACTTTTTCTGATAATTTTCTGTTTCATTGCTGTTAGATGACTCCATTCTTTCACAAACCTCAGTATCTGGGGGAGAATGCTATTGTCAGCAGTGTGACATCAAACAAATAATTACATTGAAAGCATGCTAAGAATTAACATATTCAAAACCGGATGGAAAAAAAGCTGGTATGATCAGAGATAGTCCCTTCAAGTCAGCCCTTGTGCAAGCTGCAGCCTTCCATCCTCTTCTGCTGAAGAACTTAAGACTGCTTTGGCATTGTCTACAATTACAGTTTTGCTACGACATATAGGTGTGCTGCTTAACAAAGTAGAAAATAAAGCCACAAATGGACTTCAATCTAAGCTGTAATGATAAGGAGAATGGATTTCTGGTAAAGTCTCAGATAAGCCTTCCTTGTGTAAGCAAGACTTCGTTCAGGGAAAAAAAGCAGATGGGTGAAAGTCTTCTACTTAGAGAAGCCCTCCTTCTCCTGCTCCAGGCTTTCAAAAAAGCCAAGTTTGAGAGAGGAAATAACATTCATATGTAAAAATCTAGAATTTATAACGTGGCTTTCTTTAGAATACATGTAGGGAAAAAATGGTTTCATCTCACCTTCATCTTTACAACAGAAAACAAATGAACAAGTGAATACCAATATGTCCATCAATAACAACAATACCATAGAGTGGCCAATATGAAAGCTTTGCTCTGTTTGTTTTTCCGCACTCCATTCCTTGCTGACTTGCTACATCCACAGTAGCCAGTATCACAGTGTTTCTGAACATGGACTCTGGTAACAATAAATACACTGTGCAGTATGATGAGTGATTTCAGCCTCATTCAGGAATGTGCTTCCAAGACTATGATGTGGCAATGATTTTCTCCTTGAAGTATTCTTTTTTCCCCCCATGACAAACATGGAAGAGCACGGACCAGCCTTACTTTGCTACTCAGAACAGCAAGAAAGAAGTCAGCAAAACTGCAGGACAGAAAGACACATGGGAGCATTTACTAACACGGATATTTTAATCTGCAAAAGAAAGTGGAGGGACAGAGATAAAGTTCCATAAGCAGTGTCATCTCCTGCAGAAACATGGCATTCTTAACGTGTCTTCTCAGTCTAAGTAGCTTTGAAATTCTTTGGCAACATCTCTGCCAGTCATCAGGTGGTTCAGATAGCTGTTGGCTGAATCACCAAGTAGGAATTTGACCTACAAATCTACGTTCCAGCCTTGTTGGAGAATCTACTAGTAAGAACCAGTCTTGTTCTGACGTGATAAAAATCTGATTTTCTAAATCATACATCTCTTTAAACAGATGAAACGTATTTCTTGACTGTTTCCAACAGATAACATTGCAAAACCAATTTAAATTCTGGATTTCATTACTGTGAGTACTTGATTTGACAATATTCATGTCTTACAACACCAGTACAAGTGTGATTGTTATTGCTTAAGTAACTGAAGCTGCATATCTCAGTAGAATTGTGCCCTACACTGTTTTGAATGTTGTTAGTAGACCAAAGGACAAAATGAGAGTCAAGGCCTGCTCATAACTGCAGCTCTGATACAACCCAGCACATTCTTATTCACTCAGCTCACAATTTACAACCTTCAAAATGCTATTTTGTTGACTTACAAATGCTAGTTGCTGATCCTGTAAATGAGAAATTAAATGATGCCTGGTTGATTCCATCTACGTTAACAAGAGGTATGATAATTTGCTAGAAAACAGTCTGCATAATATCTGCATCAATATTTACAGTATCTGCTCACACTGATGAAACTGTGTGTAGGTACTGAGTCCTGGAAGTGTTCTGCATCTTAAAAAAAAAAAAAAGAAGCCAAAATACTCCACATTAAATACTGCATTACTGTGCCAGTTGAATTTAGGCTTACCATGGAACGATTTCGTTTATGTTGGAAATTCTCTGATAAATCCTCCCAGTTGTCCAGCTGTATGTCCAATGGAATGAAATTCAGATTCAGTGGTTCACCATCCTACACAAACAAACAGTTTTGTTTACAGACAGAATACACTACAATCTAGAAAAAGGAAAAAAGCACCTGTTTCAAATGGATTATCCTCCTCTTTCAACCAAGTTTAGATCTTCAAGCTTAAGATCTTTCTAGGAATGATTTTTCATGTAAAAATGTAAAAAATGATTTCTCATGTCAAAAAAAGAAAGTAGAAAAACATTATAGCATTTTTTCTGATCTGTACACAGCACCAATGTGTACCTTTCTGAAAATGTGGTGGCAATATTTTATTTACCTACTTCACCTGCAAAGATTCATTGATTACTGCAACTCCAAAAATACTGGGGAATAGCACACTAGCTACAAACAGGAGAATAAATAGTCATGCTAATGATTCAAGGTAGCAGTAAGATTTATAACAAGAAAAAGAATCAAGTATTGTTAGCATTTTCAACAGATGATCTGAGCATAAATGTAATACACTGGCACCTCTGTGTAAACTAAGAGAAGTGTTAGAAGCTGTATAAATGGGGAATTATTACTTCTTCAACAAGAACTAGAATGATAAACCACCTAATTTTTTCAATATTTTCAATAATATGAAAATAGGGATTTTACACAAAGCATGACAAAAGAAACCATACATGCCTATTTTATAGGACAACAGTCTACTTTGTACTTCTGAAGTGATAATAAGCATGCTTATTTCAGCTTTACCTTTGTATAGAGGTGAATTCTATCAGTATTCCTGCTTGCACAGAACATTAGCCCATCATATACTAGAAATGCATCTGATTGATCTAAATATCCAACACAGAGAAACAAGGTTAAAATTAAGAGGTTTACTTCATTTAGTCTATTCAGATAGTAAAAATAACCACACCTGTCATGTGTGACATTTCCTGATTTCACATGCCTACAAACATTTTTTTGTATAAACTCTACATTTCTATTTTTCACCTTTCCCACTCCCTCCAAGTTTTCAGGAGTCATTGTACAAGCTCCTAGACCACACTAGGATTCTATATTTAATTCCAGAACAACATAAGATGCACACAATACAAGCAACAAATTATTAAGTGTTCTCCTGAATTTTTTAGGAGACAATCTTGTTTCTCTTGAATCACCCATTATTTCAATTTACCCGTGGCTATCCTGAAGACAAAGCAATGCCATCATAAATTTCAATAAGACTGTATGCTGTACCTTAGGTTTTACAGCTACTAGTTTGACATAATTGCTTTGTCAACCAAAACCTCTCTATTTCCTCAGGTTTTGTATGAAGAGTGCTTTAGATATCAAAATTCGATAAACATCCCAGGTTAGAACAAGAAAATTACTGCTAGCCTATCTTTCATATTTTGAAGTTCTTTTTCACGCCAGAGGCAGGAAATACAATTTCACACATAGGATATGGACACCTTTTTTTCCCCAGAGGAATCCCCTATTACCTTTTCCACACCTTCTTTCATTTTCTTCACTTTTGATTTTGACAGCTTCTTGTTCACTGATTTCAGACTGCTTGGTCACCAATTCCTCCAAATCTTCTCTTCCATCTTCAGCATCCCATGCTGCTCTCTGTTCATCACTTCTGGAGTCTTTCAACACGTCTTTTTCAGTCTGGCTAGTAGGAACTTCACAGTTTCTCTCACCTACAGAGAGAGAAAAGTGATCACTTACACTCTCCTTATAAATTGAGAGCTAATCAATAAACGGATGGACAAAAAACAAGCAACTGAAATACTGAGAAATTGCATTTTATTCTCTAATAATATAATGGTTCATTGTTCAACCACCTATGAAAACAGGGCTAACTTTGATATTAGGAGAATAAACACATGGACCAAAGTGTTCTAGTTATGCAATTTTGTGCAGCCAGCTTTATGAAGAAATATGTGCAATCAAACAGCTAGTTATTATCCACTACATTCATTTACCAAACACCATAAGCACATTAAATAGCTTTCCAGCATTCATACATACTTAAGAAATTGAGAAGTTGACCTTACTTCATCAAGAAAAGATCTAAAAAGAAAAAAAGAACCTTATTCTTTTCTTTCTAATGTAAAAACTTAACATGGAGAGAGATTTATAAAAATATTTACTAAGTTCCCAAATAGCTGGAATAAATTTCATAGAAAACATTTATTCTGACCTGTATGAATGAAAAATGCTGTATTTTTAAGGCAATGTCTCCCATGGCAACTACACAATACTGAGGCTAATAAAACCATCTATGTGACATCATTTAGTTTTTGACATGTAGAGAAAAGCTTTTCAATTTAATTGGATTCAGAATAACTACAAACCTTCTCAAAGAAAGCAAGAGCTACATTTGCTGTAAAGAAAATTAAATTTATATTCTTACTCACCATTTTTATATCCAGTTAACATTCATCTCAATTCTCTATTTGTTTCAAATTAGTAGAATCATACAAAAGATCCCCAGGAAAAGTTAAATTAAGAAAGATCACCTAAAAGGTATCTGTCTATCTATTCATAGAAAGATACTATTCTTCATGTTTTGCTTGTATATGTGCACGCTCAGATTTAAAAATATTTATTTCCTGAAACTAATCACAGCTGGAATGAAAAACGCACACTTTCTCTGCAGCACTTACCTTTATTGCTCTGAGGGCAATTACACATTTCACAGTAAGGAAGCAATTCGTTATTACTGCAAGTGCAAACACTACAGTGCCAAACTTTGTTTAAAGCTGTGCCTTTGCTTGAAGCATTTGAGCTGCAAGGAAGGACTTCATTGTTCTTCTCTGTGAAGAAAGCAGACATTTTTCCAGTCAACGTCTTTTTCTTCCTGGAGCTGACTGGAGTAGATCCACTTACGCTTCTTGCTCTTTTAGCTTCATGTGGACAGGCACTTTCATGACAAGTTGTATCCACATCACTTATTCTTGTGAAATCCAGATCTTCACTGCTCTTCTCTGAATCCTCTTCTTTCACGGCTTCAAAAGACTCTGCACCAACCTTTAATGATTCACTATCTGATAACATTTTGCGTTTCTTTCTAGAGGCAGATTTTGGGGTAAAGAAGGAACGTATGTCATGCTGTCTTTCCTTCTCAAACTAGGAAAGAGGAAAGAAATACATAAAGCCATCTTTGTGATTACTGCATCAGGAATGGTTAAATTTTTCTCCCCATTAGTAGTGCTTTCTAACACGGGAAGCTAGTTTAGAGATGAAAACAAAAGATATTTTCCTTTAAGCAGAAACAGCATAAAGAGCTATTCAACGTTGTGATTTCCTAAAAATTATTTTCAGTGTTCTTATCAAGATTCTGCAATAGCACTAATGATAGCAAATACACAGAACAGGTATGTTACATACATTTTCTGATGGAGCCTACAAGGAAAGACTTCTAAACGTTTTCAAAATAACTGTGCTGAATTTTAAAGCTATTAAGAAAGCTGTATTTTAAACAGAAATTACATTTCCTTATGAGACTCTGAGGATGAGTCAATCACCTAAAAACCAATTAAAGCTACTATTTAAAACCTGTAGATTATTTTATGCCCAACAGATCAGTTTCTCCAGATTAACTTTCTGAACTTGAACTTTTTTTTTGCCACTCATACAGTGTTTCTCCAGTAGTAAAGCCTGCAATGCACACAAAACCTAGGTGAGAAAAGGTTAGATCTTTAAAAAAAAAAAAAAAAAAGAAATAACAATTAAAAACATAAGTTTTGAGTATTACATGCGTAAACAGAAGTTCATTCTGGAGATCTTCTGCACTGTTGTTAGGGGTCCAAGCTTCAGCAAAACTCAAAAAATCCCATTTCTCCTTATCACCTTCTTCAGCCTGCATTCTCTCTTTTTTGCCATTCAAGGTGCTGCCTGTAACGTTGGCCTGCGTGTAAAGACTCGTGTAAAGGCTCTTAAAAATTTACAGGTAGGAACAAGTTTATTTGTCTAAATGCATCAAATTGCTTACAACTGCTGAACTAAGCTTGCAAGAGAGAAATGAGAATATCTGCAGTAATTCAAATAATGTTAGTGATTGAAACCATTCTTCCAGCTGCCCTAATGGAAACCATTTCTGCACAAGTACCATATATATGAAAAGGTATATGTAAAATACCAACATTCACTGAGGTTAAGAGATTATTTACATTGTGTACGCATCTTTCTCAGTAGTCTTTAGGCATTCTGCTTAGTAGATGAAGCCAAAGGCAGAATTAATGGAAAGCAGGAATTCAGTGATTAAACTCTTAGCCAGACAATCTCAGATCCATAGATTTGTCTTATTCTAGAATGTTATTTGCTAGCTGTGCTTCAGTGGTATCTAAACCACAGTGAATCCCCAATTATTTGGTTGTATTCCACACGTACCTTGCGATTCAGCATTGCCCACATAAGAGGATCCAACGTTCCTTTTGCTATAAGGAAGTGAATATTCACAGAACTGCACTGCCCAATGCGGTGTGCTCTGTCTTCTGCTTGCTTAATATGGCCTGGATCCCAATATAATTCAGCAAACACGACGTGAGTAGCAGCAGTGAAAGTTAAACCCTAAATAAAGGAGTACATCAATTTAGAAAAAAGATTCTCCCCATAAATCTACACACTGCACAGAACATTTTTAAGTGTAGGTGAGACAGACCACCTGGACACACAAAAAGAAATACAAACCAACCTTCTACACTTATTCCAGGTAGATATTAGTAAGATTCAGAAAACACTGCAATATTGTGCAAACACTGCATACAGCTCTTCATTATGGAACTAAATGTTGCTTATCATTAATCTGGTACTCCCAGACAGAAGGTGCAGGCTTTTTCTGTTCTTCTACTAATTATTCAACCCACTGCTTATGGTGATTTTGCTCATGTAATTTCAAGAGAGGCTTAAAACAGTTAACATGACTGGTGCAAAAAAAAAAATGAACACATAATTCTGCAAAAGATGCATTACACAAATTGCCTTCAGTAAATAACTTTAATAACCTTCATTTCCATTCTTCAAATTTAATTTTTTTATTTTTATTTTTTTTTAATCCTACCTGACCAGCTGCCTGAATACTCAAAATAGCAACCCGGGTCTCAGGATCCTTCTGAAACTGATTAACCAGATGTATTCTTTCTGCAGAAGGAACACTTCCATCTATCCGTATGTAGCGAACCTACAACAGATTTTAATAGACAAATGAAGTCATCCCTTTTTAGATCCAACCACCTTCTTTCCCCAATACTAAAATACCTGCTCTATTCCAGTCATGGAGATAATAGTACCTCAGTACTATTTTACCTGTCGATCTACAATTAAGCCTATTTATCAGAAAGTACTCAGTACTACCTATTTATAAAAGACAACAATAATGAACACAGGCTCCTAAAATTGAGTATTCTGCACAAGAATCTGCAATTTCCCAGGTAAGATTTATTAAGGTTGCAAGCACTTGCAAACAAATAGCTTAATATTAAATACTGAAGTTAGCCATTTTTCCCTAGCAATGGTTGAGTCCACAACCAATAACATGGAAGTGATCCACTGTGAATTAAACATTCAAGCAAGATAACAATATTTTGGAAAAAAAACCCAAAAAACAAAAACAACAAAAAAACACCAAACCAATGAACACCAACAAACCACCTCCAAAAGAAGACAGAAGAATATCGATGAAAAACCTTGGGAAACAACTGCCTTTAGAAATAGATTCACTGATGAAGTATCACACCAAATATCCCCATTTATAAAACAGTTCTTCAAAATTCCACAATCTTTTCAATACAGGAGCACTGACCTTTATTTACCTAAAGTCCTTAAATTCCTCCACATACAGAGTTCTACTCAATTTAAGCACAACTGTCACATATTTGCAAAGTCTGAAATTAAATGAGTGCACATTTGTTAAATAATTACCTTATTTTCTATAACTGCCTCTGCACAAGCTTGAAGCATGCTTAAGTGGTGAGCAAAAACTAGGAACTTCAGTTTGTCATTTTCAAGCATCATTCTGATATAGTCCTTCACTGCTCCTGCCTGGAGTAATAGAGCATGTTTTCATCAGTTAGATGTACAAAATGCTCAAAATGACAGTTTTCACTTCAATGCCTGAATGCCATTCTATTGGTTAACCATTTAAGACTTTATCATACACTAACGTTAATTTAATAATTATAATTCTGTTTCAAGAAGTAGCACAACTTTACGTCCTAATAGCTAAATCTGTCCCATTTCTTTAGAGAAAAAAAAACCCCTCCACCCTCACAAGATCACAAAGTTAGATGGCATTTCTTTCAGATTAAGATGAAAATAAAAATGCTTTCGGTTATGACATCATTACCTGATGTCTGAAATAAAAATACAGAAAGCATTTAATTTCTGACCAAACATATTTTAATCATAGAAGGTATTGTTTAATCAGAACTTCTGTGCCAGCAACTAGAAAACCATTAACAAATCATGTAGAGTATGACACTATAATAATAATATAATAATTGCCCTATTTAAATACTCACATAATTGCTGTGTTAAATATTAATAGTGTTCATCAAATACAATGACAATAAAATAACAGCTACTACTAAAATTTGTCACTGATCAGTTGATAAAAAAATTCTGAGGGCTGCTGCATAAACAGTATTGCATTTTCCCTCTTTCATTTGAAAATGAGCTGACAGTGACAGAGAATAAAAAAGTAGGGGACAAGGTAGCAACAGAACCACGCTGGTATTTTTAAGATGGATAGAATATTTAAGATAAACTCCAAGGATTCAGATTCTTAATTCTTTTTAAATATACTTTTCTAAATATGGATTAGTGTAAAGAAATGTGATAACAGGCTAAAAAGTAAGCACCTAAAAGATCCGTTCATTCTCACACCTTAATTAAAAGAGGAAAATACAGAACAGGTGTCCCATCTGATAAAATAGAAAGACCACTTAGAGAAGGTTATCATTCTTCATATATCCATGGGGAGAACCAGTACTGACAGAGCACAGTCTGCACAAGGGCTGCATCAGCAGCATCCTGTAATGCAAGCCAGCTGGGTCAGTCAGCTTCAGCAGCTGCCTACACAGTTACATTCCTGGAGCACTCACCTTCAGTGCATTCCTAAGTCCAAGAGATGCCAATACATCTGATTTTATTAACAGAAAACACATCGAAAAATTAAAATATATATTAGTACTTCTACACTTACCTTGGCTATTGCAGTTTCTTTATACATACGTGTGATTAGACTCATGACATCAACAAAATGGCTGTCAGTGGGCTCTGAATTCAACTTCCTCATTAATTTCTCCCACTCTGCAAAAGTGGTATTCAAATTCTAATTGGAAAAAGAGATCAGTGGTTAGGATAGATGTACTTATCTTTTACAGGTTTGTTAGAAGCTACTAAGTATGCTCTACCACAACACTGACTTCCATGAAACATCTAGGGATGGAGTACATTTGAAATCTCTGTCAAATCTGTCTAAAAGTAATTGTAGGATTCAATACCTAATGAAAATGAAGAAGGAAAGACGACCATATTAAAATTAGGGTCAATTTTATATCTATTTGATCCCTTCTCAAGATGACATACCCATATTCTTCACATTATAATAAAAAAAATGCTGATGCTGTACTATACATGTAGCTACAAAGAATGGGAGAATATTTACACATGCTTATATAAATACATATAAGAATATATATGAATACATAGACATTTACTAACAAATATCTTTTTAGCTGATGTGGAAAATTCACCTTAGCTGCGGCTTGTGGGAGATCAAATGGAATACGCTGTCTAACTTTGGGAGGTAATTGTGTTAGAACATCATTCTTCAGTCTTCTGATCATTATTTTTCTTAAAAGTTGATGTAGTTCTTCTAAATTTGAAGCTCCTCTACAGTCCCATTGTTTTCTTTTACCAAAGAATCTGAAAATGAAAAAAAAGAATCAATATTGTTTGGTGAACGCTAGCTATTCCAAATCCAATGGAAGCCTGCAGTACACAATTCATTGTAAGACACAGATATGAAGGCATTTAGCATAACCAGGAACACTGAGTGTTGTTATGTTGGAGAGATGATTGCTTTCTGTCTGATTCCTTCCAACACTCAAGGCAGAGCTCTTAATTTCTAACCCACAGACCTGACTCCCCATCAGACAAAGTCCTCTATTTCATCCCATCTATCACTAATCAGAAGAATCTACCACAATGCTTCTTTATGATATTAAAGTGGGTAACAGCTGATTAAGAAATTAATCACAAACGCCGCAAAGAACATCATTAAAATTCCTTTCCTGTCCCATCTGAATTCACTGTTATGTACATTCAGGATTCAAAGCTAAATGCTCCAGTTTAAAATGTAACTGTATTAAAAAAAGCAAGGCTAAACAGGGGAAGTAGATTAAAAGTTAAAAAGCTCAAGGCTAAAAAAGAGAAATAAATTAATAGCTGTGTTTCTTTTTCTTTCTTTTATTTTCAAGGACATGTTGCAGAAGAGCTTCTCTGTGTCAACATTGCCAAGAAGCAACAAAATCTGTAGCACAGCAGATTTTGCTGGGTTTGGAGAAAAGCCCAGGTGGCATTTCTCAAAGACAGGAGAGTACAAGTATGTAAATTTTACTGGTATTACTGGTAATTTTTTCCTTAAAAGAAAAAAAAAAAAAAAAAAAGGAATTTTAAGCTTTATTGGGCTTATAAAGGTACTATTGATTTCAGATGGCTGATTATGACCAGTGTGGAAGGAGGTGAGGACTCATTTCTACACTGGCAAAATAATGGCATAACTCACTCAGATTGCTAAACAGATGGAAGGCAGCTACAACTTTTGCTCTTATCTTTTCTTCAGTGTGTGTCTGGTCCTTAGAAAGCATTCATCCCTCCAACTTGAGCACTGGGGATGTAAGAAATGGTAGCTGAAACACTTCAACCCTCATCCTTAGAAACAGGCGTCTATAAACACCTAAGTAGAAAACACTTTCACAGAAAGTTCTGCATAAAATAAAGCTACCAAATGGATTACCACAGGATGTTAAGTTCCAGCCAAGTCATGACAACAATGTTATCTGTTGAGAGCTTGCTAACCCGAATTTGATTTTCAATATATTTATGGTATTCCAAAAATAAGATAATCATCTGTGATGGAGTAGTTAACCGTGCTGTACCCACGCACACTTGTGGTGTGAAAATTACAGATGCATTTAGTCAAAACACCATAGAAAAAATAGCATTTCTCCATCTGAAAAATCAGACAGCACTCTGTTATTAGAAGTTAGATGCTGATAAAACATATATATGATAAGAGGAAAAAATGCCCAAGTTACATGAAAATGAAATTAGACAAGTATTACAGTAAAAATTAAATCTAAATGCTAACAATTTAGCTGACAAAAACTACTGGTTTTAGTTCATGCAAAATTGTAGGTAAGAAATCTTTTTAAAGGTTCTTTCCCCTCTCATACCTTCTTACAGTGCCCATATTTGATCTCTCAAACAGAACAAACATACTGCTGTGCTTTTGGGACCTTTTTCTCCTTTTGTTTGGTTAATCTAACATATGATCTTCTTTTCCCCAAATGTTGTAGGACAGCAAAAAGACTGAATCCCATAATAAAGAGATAAATTGTTACATGACAAGAGCATTGCACTGAGAATCAGAAACTCAAGTTTCAGCTCTAGCTGAAATGCCAGCTCAAAAAGTAAAACCTATACTTTTCATATGAACAGTAAATTGGCAAGTCATTTTACTGAACAGAACGTTGGCACTTACACTTTCTCTCAAACTTTAATAGCTTCCAATTTATTCCTAAAGTAAAGTCTCCCATCAATTCAATCCTCTTGCCAAACATCTCTAAACACTGAAAAAAACCCCAATGTATGTATGTGCCAACCTATTTTCTGTTTGTACAATGTATTTTTGATATTCTTCCTCTGTACGGTCCCTAATTCACTTTGATGGAAGAGATGTATCACAGAATGGCTTGGTGTGGGGAGGATCTCAGAGATCACTTAGTTCCAACCCCCCTTCCATGGGCAGGGTTGCCAATCACTGTATCAGGCAGAAGATCAGGCCCCATTCAACCTGGTCTTGAACATCTTCAAAAATGGTGCATCCAAAACTTCTCTGGGCAGCCTGTTCCAGCACCTCACCTCCCCGGGTCTCTAAACATGATGGTGTAATACCACAATAGAGACACTACTTATTGGTTCTTTCATTTCATATGAGAGGAAAATCAAAGTCATTCATGAGAAAAATACAAGGGCAAGTACAGTAATACCTCAAATGAGCATCACAGTATTTTTTGGCATATTCACTCCAAGTTCCAAATCTTCCTGGAAAAAGTGCCTCAATCTGCATGAAAAGCTTTATAAAAAAAAATGTTAGTGACAAACTGCCTTCAAGGATAATACTATTCAGAAATAATTCTCATTTATTACATGCTTACTGTGTTAAGCTTATATCCACCAGCCGTACTACTCATGAAAATAACAAAATCCCATGCTCAATATTATTGATACTATCCCTAAAGAAAGAAGAAACAACACGCAGGATGCTAAATACCTCTTCGGGTCTACCGAGCGCAGGAGTTCCGGTAAGAAGAATTGCTCTACTGGCTTTCTGTACAATGGGCAATAAAATCTTGCTGCGTTTAGCATTTCTGGATTTCATATAGTGTGATTCATCAACCACAACTACCTTGAAGTTCTGCCTATACAGAGTGTATACTAAAGTCTGGGCATCAGAAGTTAACAGGCCATATCCCAGAATCGTCACTTTGCTGCTTGATATTCTCCTAGAAGGGAAAATTCAGAATTCGTCTTAGTACATATTTACTGCAGGAAAATTAACATAGCAAACAAGTTCCAGAAAGATTTTTTTTTTTTAAATAACAGAAGGCAAGTATGATGTCTTTTGGATTGGCTAGTTATAGAGTTGTTAGATTGACTAATAATATTGGCTATTCAATTGAAATAAAAATTCTAGCATCCTACATTTCTAAGTCACACACATTTCATTACCATTTTCAGGGGATATCATTGTGGTTTAACACCAACAAGCTAAGCTAACATCATGATAGACTCTCACTCACCCCCCTCAAAGGGACAGGAAGAAAATATGAAAAAACCTCGTGGGTTGAGAAGAAGACTTTTTTTTTTTTAATTAAAAAAAAAACCAAACAAGTATTGGAAATGATTTCTCACAATAGATTTTAAAACATACAAAGGCATAAAGCACAAATTGTTTTTAAAATCACTAGAGAGCACTGTAGCCCTTCAGGAGCCTTTAAACACAGAAGCACAAAGTTGTTAGGCAAACAAGTTACCAGAACAAGACATAAAGCTGATCTATTCATCTGTCAGAAACTACCACTCTGCTGGCCTGATCTTTATTTGTTCCCCAGTAGAAAGAGATCAAAAGCCAATCCAATAAGCTAAAGTTTCTTACAGTACTTAAGAGTAATTAAAGTTTGTGCATGTGTACATCCATGCTTCTAGACACGGAGGAAGAGACCTAAGCATATTTTAACCTATTTCTATTAAGAAGTACACTTCGTTGCTGAAGTTCAGAAGGAAAGCAAAGTACTGAAATCAGAGAAATCAAAAGGTTGAACACACAGAAGCACAATTTCCCAAAGCTAAACCAAGTGTGTCAGCTCTGTTTTTGGATTTTCTTACAAATGCATAAAGCATCCTTTATGTTAAAATATTCATTAGTTCAACAGCTAGGAAGCCTCCTGGGAATTAAATAGAAAGCCAAGCTTTCCTCTTATCTCGTTGAGAACAAAAGTAGTAATGGTTACGGTTTATTCCTTTTAAGAACTTCAGAACGTGAAAAGAACAGAATTCTGTTTGCCATTTACTTTTGTCTTCACTTTTCCCTTATTCCACATTTCTCTTTGCTGCATTCAGCAGTGTAAGCATAGTTTTTATGTGCAGTTTAACTGGAATGATAAAAAAACTCTCGCTCAAATGGATCTTTATTTTATTTCCCATATTCCTCTAACAGCTTTATTTTGATTAGCAATAGTAATTATCCCTCAATTAAGATTTTAAACATATTTTGAATTGGATTTGTTTGGTTACGGTTACCCCAAGGAGGATTCCAAGCTACTTTCTCATCTGCATGTTTGGAGAGTATCAGGAAATGACTGCCAAGACAACATGGAAGTCAGTCTTCTTTGTCCAGGTCTTAGAACAATATCTAGACACTGCTATGAAATTAACCAAGTTATTACAGCAAAACAGATTACAAAATACCTTTTTAGTTCAGTGTTTCCTTGCAATAGGAGAGTTACTTTAATAGCATTAAGACTTGTAGTCCCACTGTAATGAATTTAGGCTACTAAGTCTAAAGATAAAAAACCTGGATCACAATGACCGTCTCAGTTAGAGAATATTTACTGTAACATTTAAATTTATCAGTGCTCTAAATAGAAAGTTAACTGTAATTAAGTCCTTATTTTCTAACACATACTAATTTTTTTTTCAAAAATGTGTTCAAAATGTTTTCCAGAAACTAACAAGTACAATACATCAGAGCTGACACATGGCCAATGTGTTCAATAGGAAACACCCCAAAGTAACCAAGTCTTCAGCAGATAGCCTTGCCACTGTGCAAAAAATCAGACCTCTCAGTTACAGAGGAGACAAAAAACAACCACAAAACCCATCCCTCTGCTGAAACATAAAACCCAATTGAAATTTCTTTCATCTTGCTGAAATCCTTACTTTTCATTATGAACATCTATATATTGTGTGTTTCTCACATACATACTGCCATCAGCTTACAGAATGAAATGGGACTTTCTAATGAATAATAATGAACTTACCCAATATCAGTTTTGTTTTGAATGATAATAATATCATCTGGAGATAGTTCTGGAATCCACTTTTCCATCTCATCAACCCAAGGATATCTCAAAGATGAAGGCACTACTATTAAGAGAGGCCATTCCTTCCTGTAGTAGTAGGAAATAGCAATTGCTTGAATTGTTTTACCTAGTCCCATCTGTGAGAAGGAAAAAAAAAGTTGAAAACAGAAGTTATGTTTGGAAATCATTGTTACTACAGTTAATCTATCATGAAAGAAAATGCTTCTCTTTAAAGGGATTCACACATACTGCATATTTGGTTTGCTTGTTAAAGCTCCAAGTATCTTTTCCAGTGATTTCAGAAGGCCTTTGGTTCAGAGACTTAGTAGGACAGACTATGAAGTTGACTGAACTCTTCAGCTTGTTAATTTGTCAAAAACATTTTAAAACCTATTCAAAGGAAAGACAAATATTGCCGAGATTGAAATTTCCTCAAGCTTCTTTCTGCTAAAAACCATCACTGGAACCTACATCAGTCCTTAAACATTATCTCTTTTACATTTAGTTTTTATATAATAACTTTTTAGTCCATCATGAAGTTTGAATTTGTGATTTCTTACCATAGATAAAATATTTTTGTAATAAATTTAAAATGTTACAAGTCATGAATTTCACTATTAATGAAAGTACACCCTAGGTTTGCATCAAATTAAGTATTTGGTATTTTCCACTTCGGTATTTTCAGAACATCTAGGTAATACCACAGGAATTGGGCTCCACTCCCTGCCAACTTCCCTGAATGAAGCATGTTAAAACAAGAAAAAGTGACGTTAAAGTAACAGGAATCACTTACCTCATCAGCAATCATACACCTACAGGTGCAATAAGGGGGAAAAAAAGAAAAAGAACAATAGTAAATATAACTGATAAACCAATCGTTATAAATTGCTTACTATGAATGTAAGTTAGGCATTCAGCAAATCCTGAATATTTTCTTTGTGACTAAAGGAAAAAAGAGAGACTTCCTTTTTAGAGTGCCTTTGACAATAACAGCAAATGTAATTTTGGTATGATTGTAATAGTAAGTACACCAGTTATTCTAAAATTGTATACTCAATTTGTTAGTATTACTGAAGAACATACAGTGGAATTGAATTGCTGCTTTGGTTTAGTGCTATATTAAATTTAATCTTAAGAGACAGCGCAAGAAATACATCTTCAATTATACTGTCTTTCAGGAACAGCATCGTTTTTGATTCTTTGTGATTAAGAGTCACTTCTATGGCACACTGATTTAGAAAAAAAAGTCACTTCCAGAGGTGTTCCATTTGTTTTGAAATAGAAACAGACCTCCTCTCACCGCCCCAGCTGTACTGGGCAAAGCATTGGAAAATGAACTTGATTTTTTTTTCCATTTAGAAGCCCTTTACTCCAAGCAAAGAAAACAATGGCAACTCTAGAGGCAATTATTTAAGTAAACTTATATTTCCTGAACAAACACCACCTCTGATATAAATTTCTTTATAGGTATGTTACATTATGCCTTAGTATTAATACTCTGAAGTCTGAAAGGATTTTGGGAACTTAACTGCTCCTGGCCCACACAGACTCCTTCAAAACCATTTTGAAATTAGACCAAGGCCAATGGAATTATTTGTTGGACATTCAGTTACACCATCAAATGGTGGCTGATGTCACCTATTTCCAACTATTGTACCCTCAGCTATTTCACAAACTTTTAGCTCTGCTATTCTACAACTTCGTACAAGTTGGAAAAAAATACACCCCCACCAAGAAACCAAAATCCCAAGGAAAAAAGAAACCTCCAAACACAAACCCAAAGATTATCCAATTTGAAAGCATTATCTAAAGAAGTAAGAGTTTAACTCTTGTAATCAGACCCCCTACATCATATTCACACACCAACAAATTCAGAGGAAGACAAAAAATGTTAATCTAAGAAAGAAGAAAAGAAAAAAATCTACTCCCTTTCAGTCTTGCAACATGAGGGTGACTTAAAGTTCTGTTTTCCTGTAACAACACCAGACTGCACAAAGCTTCAGACTTGCTAAGAACCTTCTTGCCACAATCAACGCTAAGATCTAAAAGCAAGATCTAAAATGAGCACAAAGTGCCAACTTCTGCAATCTCAATAGCATTCCCTGCTTGAGTTTCAGCTATGTAACTGGAGGTTGGATTAATCCTCCAGCTAATACGTAATCGGGGGAGTTTTTCAAGCACTGCATAATTTTCCAAATTTTCATAAAAAACAAAGTGGAAGAATAACTCCCACAGTTTTGTATCATAGTGCCACACAAAAGGCTCGGTAACACCACTGAGAAATACAGCACTGGGTGGCTGCTGCTTGAACTGAATGGCAGCAATAGATGGACAGCTGCATGCAGTTCATCATTTTGAAGACTTGTTTACTGACAGAAAAGCATCAAGTCTTAGAAATTGAGACAGTTCAAGCTCCAGGAGAGAATGAACTTCACAGGCCACTCTGCTTGTGTCCCAGTGTCCCATCACATTCAAGGGGGAAAAAAAAACTAAAACTAAAACTAAAAATAAAAAGCCCAAGGACTTTTGCCTTGAGCTTTTGCTTCCTATCCCCAGTAGCCTTCAGTCACAGACACAAATTAGTCTTGATTAATTGCTCTGGATAAATTCCTCACTGCCTGTTCCCCACCACTGCATCTTCTGAGACAACAAACTTCTCTGCCACACAAGTAGATGTGCACCCACTGCACCATGCTACTCAAATGAAACATTCCTTCTGTGAAAAAAACTGAGATCTTCCAGGTCTCTGCAACTGTAACTAAATTTAACATGTCAAGACATTAAAATTCTGTATTTTGATACTAGAAACCCTTTAAAATAATACAGAACTGCTTTTTCAGTGTTGGGTGTATGGAAATTCATGCAGGTACTCAAAGTACTAACAACATCAGCTGTGATCACATTCAATAACATACATCTTGCCATGGGGCCAAAATGGACATTCCTGTGGCCAAACTACAAAGCTTGGCAGAAAACACACAGAGGTAATTCCCAGATCTGATGTGCTGGATACAGATTTGATACTCTGAGAGCTCTGGTACATTGATGCTTGCTCATTCAACCCGAAAGTGTAGATTCCAACATCAACGTTTCCTTTGTACTAACACACACGCACGAAAATATGCATATTGTACAGCTTACATTTTTGTAAGTTGCAATCTACTTGTAACTCACTTTGTAGCAGTCCCTCAGCTTTTTAGATGTTTTCCACTTCAAACTTGGTTGGGATGGAACAATCAAAAAAAAAAACCAACATAACAAAACATAACTGCTAAATCCACACAGGCAAAGGAAAAAAAAAAAAGGCAGGAAGAGAATATTTTTAGTGGCAACTTGAGATTGTGGAGCCTTTGTGTTTGTGATTTGCAGCTGGGCAGAGACATTAATTTGCAGACAACAAATACACAATTCTATTTTTAAATAATGCCGTATATTGCTTACTTTAAAGAGTGATTTTTTTCCATTTAATACAAATTGCTTCCATTATACTTCTAAAAAGAATTCTTTCTTGCAGATTCTTAAAGGTGGCAACTTCTATCAGTAGACTGATTTTTAAAAACGGTTTGAAGACTGAAATTGAGTGGAATGCACAACAACCTAATGGTGGAGAATCATTGTTAATTTCAGTTTTAACTCCTTAAACAAATGCAGAAAATAAGTAGCAAACAAATGCAGAAATGTAGCAATTAGCTACATACAAAGCAGAGGCATCTCAAGATGAAGCTAAAAACATTCTTTAATATTGTATTTAATCCTAAAGGATATCAAAGGGAATGCACAAATACAGCAATATCTGAAAGTACATTGCATTCAGTAGCATCTGCTGGTAAGGAAATGTGGCAGAGAGAACAGAAATACAAATGTTCCTTGCCATCTTGTGCTGATAAATACAGTATTTCTCAGTATATCAGCTTCTATTTTAGCAGAGTATTATGAATAATGAAATGAAAATCACGTCACTTTAGGCGTGCATCTCCTACACAGCAGGAATAAATCTACTTTAGTGTGAGCCACACATTTTAAAGAGATGAAAGTGAGAATACATGAGGTCCTATTGCACTGTGTTTTGGTGCATGCAAACCAACTTCTTGGACCTTCATTCTGTTTTTCAGAGAAACAAGCCAGAACAAAGAAATTTATAAATTGCTCTGACAATTAAAAGCTAAGAGCAATCAAAATAAAAACTTAAAAGTATGTCAGCCACAGGAACAGATTTTTTTCATGAAATGATATTTTTTCATTAGTTTATTGCAGCCATTTACACTTTGATGACTTAAGTATCTGCAGGACTACAGGAAGTTGTTCTATCTCACTGCTTTCAATTATTTTCAGACTCTGCCCATAGAACCTTCTGTTTTCAACTTCAAGTAAGTATGTCTTCAGTGAAACCTGTTATGCAGCAGTGCTACCCAGAATAGCACATACAATTTGATCACTCACATCCATGGAAGATAAATACAAGCCAAAAGAGAAGTGGAAAAGAGCTAATAGAAAGATTAAGGGGCAGCTGAGCCTCCCATGGTAGGAAATAACAAGAGAAACACGATTGCTTCATCTCCAAAAGGAAAAGCTGAAATGCAATGCTTGTTCCACCTCTCCCTGTTCCATAAATCCACAAAAAAACAATTTCAGAGATAGAAAGACCACAGTGTTGGTACATAAAAGTCTCAGCCTATTAACACATTGAAGCTAGAAATTAGAATTATACTCTTAATTATACTAATAACTGTATCTGTGAAGAACCACAAGGGGGAAAAAAGTTACTAATTACAAAGCAGAACCCAAATTTTACAGAGAATCAGCCTGGACCTTGCCAGCAGCACAGGCCTCAGGACACACATCTCCAATTCTGTGCTCCCAAACTGACAGACAGTACAGTTTCTGTTAATGGTTACAAAGATGTGGTACTTCTACATACACTTCTCACCCTATTAAAGAGCTGTAATTCAGCAATAAATCTTCAAATCTAGTTCTCTCCCATCTGTTCTGCTACAGTAATTTGTAGTAAAAAAAAAAAAATCAAAGGCTGAAGCAGGGAAACTACTGGCTTTTCTTCCTATGCCTGCAACCCCTACATCACTTAGGCATAGAAACATTAACTACATACATCATGGACTGACATGAATCAGGTGCACAAAAATTGTTTTTAAAGCTGCCCTGAAGTTTTCAGTCTTAGAAGTCTTAAACATGACTGCTTAATGTAGTTACAGCATCTAAGTCGTCCAGTATCTGCTCTTAAAGGCACAAAAAATAGCTTATATTCACTGAGAGGGAAATCACCAAGGGTCCCCACATTTTATAACCACATGGATTAGTTTAGAAGTGTATGGAACTTCCCTATCATTATAGCCCAGATCATACAGAACTGATCGGATACCTGATAATTGCATGATAACATTTCAAAAGAAATACCCCACATTTTGCTTTATGTAACCTTAAAAACACGCAGCTGCCATTTATAACAAACGTCAGTACGTCCTACATTGCTGCAGTGAGACAAGCTGCCGACATGAACATAAAGAAACAGATCTTCAGATACACGGAAGGGACAAATGTGTACTTTTAGTTCATATATTTTGACTGCAAGAAGACAGACTTCTCGTTCTCTGAAGTTCAATTAGTCATTTCCTCTCAACTGGTAGTTACCCAATTTGAGCTTCATCGTTCATATCCCATCTGTTCAGCTGACACCTCAATAATAGCTCTATCCAAGAATAAAAATCAGAGCTATGATACGCACTTTCGCATCCTGTTTTAGGCTCAGCCCACACAGTCAAAAGTTTCAGAAAAGCAGGAAAAATCATTTTAGATC